AGTAACAACAATCAATGTAAATGGACAAAATATAGACATGTTAAACCTTTAGCAATAGGCAATATTTACAAGAGACACACCTAAAACTTAAGGGTACAGAAAAGCTGGAAGTCATAAGGCCAATACAGACACAAATACCACAGAGTATAAATATCAAATAAGGTTTATTGAGGAAACCTAACAAACAGAGAAGTACAAAGCACTCATCATCCACTAAACTCTAGTGTACCACAGAGAGGAATCCAGCCTCCACACATCTGGGCAATTCTGTTATAATGGAAGCCTCGCAGTTAAAAAGGTGTCTGTTCTTCCCTTGAGTTAAGACCTGCCAAGTCAGCCCTGATAAACACCAAAGAGATGAGGAAATGAGCAATCCAAGCCCTTAGGTGAAGTACAAGATGGAAAAAAAATACAATGAACAAATTCTAACCAAAAGAAAGCTGGTGTGTCTATGGTAGTAGCTGAGAAAATTAACTTTAAGGCAAAAAGCATGATCTGAGATACTCACTACTTCATTTAACCATTTACTTCACAATCCTAATCTTGTATGAACCGAATAACAAATCTTCAAAAATACATAGTACAAGTCATCAAAAATTCAAGAAAAAACTGCCAATATCTGTTGGATACTTAGCACAATTATCTCAATTGAGATATTAATCAGACAAAAGGTAATAACATAGAAATAGTTGAACAATGCAATTTACAAGCTTGATTCCAACAATTGGAAAATGCAATTTTTTCCAAGCACACATGAAATATTTACAAAAATTGCCCATGTACTTGGTAAGCCTTAAAGCAAGTCACATAGACTTTGAAAGATAATGCAATTACATTAGAAATTAATAACAAAACAAATAACTTCAATAAATAAAACCAATTCATTTGGAAACAAAAACCATGAGTCAAAGGAGAAATAGGTTGGAAACTAGAAAATATTTACAACCTAATGATGATGAACATCTACTTATGAAAACTTGTGGGACATGCCTGAAGCAGTAGGTTCAGGGAACCACAGGCATACCTCGAGATACTGCGTTTCGGTTCCAGACCACCGCAATAAAGCAAGTATCACAATACAGTGAGTCATAATCTTTTTGCTGGTGGATGATCTTGCCTTCAGCTTATAAAAATGCAACATCTGTGAAGGGCAATAAAGCAAAACACAATAAAACATATAACAGATGCAGAATGTTTTACAGGTGAGTTCTACCAAACAGTTGACAAGTAGACCAATTCAATTTTACACAGAATCCAAGAGAACAGAGGAAAGACTCAACAACTCATGTCATGAGACTAGCACAACCCTAACAACCAGAATCTGACAAGGACTATACAGGGGGAAAAAATTATAGGCTAATCTCCCTCATGAATTTTTATGATGCAAAAATCCTAAACAAAACAATATCAAACCCAATATAGAATAAAAGAATATATCAAAACCAAGTTGTGTTTCTTCCAGAATTGTGAGCATGGTTCAATATTGGAAAATGTATTCATTTTAATCATCTCAATTAAGGCAAAAAAAATTGATCAAATATCATAATCACTCAATTAAAACGCTTATCAAACAGGGAATAGATGGGAAAGTCCTTAACCTAATAATCAGAACTCCAAGTTGTAAAGAACTTCCAGGAAGGCTCCTTAAAGGGAGCTGAGCCCCATGAAGGCACACCCTTTTGCCTGACTACTTCTCTGCTGTCTGGAATGGGAAGTAGATGGTTGATGCCCCTGCATCTATCCTAGCCCCTAGCCTTTGAGGCGACCTTAAGGATGGAACCAGATACCAGATACCAGATACAGAGAGAGAGAAAGAGAGAGAGATATTACTTTTCCACTTATTTATGCATTCATTGGTTGCTTCTTATATGTGCCTTGATCAGGGATAGAACCCACAACCTTGGCGTATTGGGACAACGCTCTAATCAACTGAGCTACGTGTTCAGGGCAGCCTTTGTATATTTAAGACACTTTTACTTATGCAGTCAAATCCCATCTTAACTGAAACACCATTTCTATTCAAAATGGTACTGGAAGTTCTAACCTGGGGAAAAGCAAGAAAAATAAAATGTGTAAGAACTGTTAAAAAAACAAATTATTCACATATGAATAGAAAATTGATCTTATAGAAAATTACAAGAAATGACTTTAGCAGGATGGCCAGAAAAAAAGTCAAATGCATTTCTATATACCAGCAAAAATCAGTTAAAAATCTTTAATTTAAAAATACCATTTATAGCCCCAGCCGGTTTGGCTCAGTGGATAGAGCATTGACCTGCAGACTGAAGGGTCCTGGGTTTGATTCCGGTCAAGGGCACATGCCCGGGTTGCGGGTTCAATCCCCAGTAGGGGGCATGCAGGAGGCAGCCAATCAACGATTCTCTCTCATTGATGTTTCTATCTCTCCCTCTCCCTTCCTCTCTGAAATCAATAAAAATATATTTCAAGAAAACATTTTTAAAAAGCATTTATAATAGCAACAAGTTACCTAGGAATAAATCTAATCTAAAAATCAAAACCTTTTTGAAAAAAATTAAGAAACTTTTTGGAAAGATTTTAAGAGGACCAAAATAACTCAAGAATAGTAAGAGTTGTCATTATGATGTTACTTCTGAAATCAATCCAAGGATTCAAATGCAATTGTGATCCAATCCCAACACAGTTTCCCATGGAACCTGACATGCTTAATTGTATATGAAGTAGCAAAGAGCCAAGAATAACTACACATTCCTGAAGAACAGAGCAAGGTAAAAGAATTTTCCATCAAGACATCAAAGTTACAAGGCCACAGTGTTGAAGAGAGTGAGAGGTCAATGGCAAAAGGTCACAGTCAAAAATGATGCTGGGACAATTGAAATGAAAACAAAACAAAGAAATTGGATATCTGACAACATACATGAAAACTCAATTCTAAATAATGGAGTAGTTTTGAATATGAAAGATAAAACTATTTCAAATCTTTAAAAAATATAAAACTTGTTTTAAGAAATGATTCTTAAATTAGATTTTTTAAATTGACTTTCCAACTATTTTAAACTTCAGGGAAAAACATTTTAACTATATTAAAAGTAGGAGCTCTTTCCAATGAAAGGGAAAAAAGGAAAGAAAGTCAGAAGGAATGAAAAAAATTGAAAGGCCTAAACAGAGAAATGCAACATTATTATCCACACTAATACAAAAGCTCTCAAAAATCAATAAGAAAAATCCTCAAACAAAAAAAAGGTAAACACAAATAGCCAATAAATATTTGAAAAGCTGTACAACCTTATTAGTAATCAGAGAAAGCCAATTACAACCACAACATGAAACCATCTCATATCCATAAGTTTAGAGGGGCAGGGGGGACTTCATTGCCAAAAAAATGTGGATCAAATGGAACTCTCCTACTCTCCTGATAAGAGAATAAACTAGTACCACTACTTGGGGAAAATTTGGGTTTTATAGTGAAGCTGAAGATGCACACCCCATGTTCCAACAATTCTACTGATATACTTTTGCACAAGTGCACCAACAAATATGTACCAAAATATTCACAGAAGCCCTGTACACAATAGAAATGAACTTCAAATAATCAAAATGTCAGTCAAGACAGCAAAAAAGAATTAAAAAAATGAACTCAACATGGATTAATCTCAAAAACAAGCAAAAGAAACTCAGAAGATATATATGGTATGATTCCAATTTTATAAAGATCAAAATTGACAAAAACTAAACATCATTCCATTTAGGAATGTCTGCATGTGTAAATAAAAATATATAGAAAAGCTTAGTGTTTTCCAGATAGTGTCGCTTTCTGGCTGGTAGGGAGAAGGACTTAATTGAGGAAGTACAAACTACTAAGTGGTAAAGGTCCATTTCACTGAATGAGTTCATTTAATCTCTCTGGAAAGTACTGAATACATACTGGCCATATTTACATTTCTCTATATGTTGTAGTATTACATAATAAATTTTAAGTGACTCAAAATATATCCAAAAAGCTGTTTTAAATTATCTTCCTGCTTGTCTCCATGTTTTGTTTGCTGTCGGAAGGTAAGAGTGGTCTTTTAACTGTAATAGAACAATATTAACATCTGGTACTTTAAGGGTTGCTATTAAAGACTATATTCATGCCTACCCTACCCTACCCTATATAATGCACATTGACTTGTTTTCTAAAGCAACACTAAGGTGCAAAAGACATTAAGTCTTTGGAAAAAATATAAAATAGATTTTATTGATTTGCACCAATAGAATCACAATTTTTTATAGACCAATTGGCATACACCCTGTATCGATTAATGAAATTCTTTAAAGTTGTTTTAGTGATAGCAACATTAAAAGACAAATATGTAAGTATTGCTAAGTAAACACTGAGATAGACTATCCTTTAGATTTCCATTTTAAATTGTTGCAGTGAAGTCTCAAAAGGATCTTATTTGCTTAAGGCTCCAGCTAGGTCCCTGAATTTGAAAGATGTCAACTAAGTGCCTTGGGCAAACTCATGGACTAAGTTCCCCCAAAATAGTAATATCCAATAAAAAGTGTTTCCAATTTCTGCAGCACTGCTGGCAGGGATTTTTATGAGCACACATTCTGGAATATCCCTGGCAAGTCAGGTGCCAATCGGCACACACACACACCACAAAAACTAACACAACAACAACAACACCAAAATCAACAGCCACACGCGCCAGTGAGATCTCCTTGAGACAGGTTATCTCCCACATCTCCAGCTCCCCCTCCAGAGTCCTGGGGAGCGGAGAGCAAGGGGGAAAGACTGCAGAGGAGTTAAAAAGGTCCGTGAACCATGTGGACAATAATAGTTGGTCAGTTGCAAAACAGTCCATGATCTACCCCCTCATTTTGCGGATGGGGAAATTACGGGTCAGGAAGCGCAGCTGGGCAGAACCCAGCAGCAATTTAAACCCGTCCCCTATCCTGGTCCAGGGGTCCTCCCCCTGCCGACCACTCCCAGATGCTCCAATACGTCGCTAACACGAAGGTGAGAAGACCTGCACCTCCGCAGGGCGGCCAGGTCGCCAGCACCAGAACGGGTCTCGGCGGTAATCGGAGGGACCCCTCTTCCTACAGGTGGGGGCCCTGACGAGGGAAAGTGACGCAGCCCGGGAAGTAAACATCCATTCTCCGCCTCGCGCGGCAGGCGGCCTGGCGAAGGCGGCGGCGATCACTGACGACCCCACTTCCCATCTCTAGGAGGGCGGGCATCAAAGACAACCCTATCCCCAGGTTTCCACAGGCAAGAATCACGCCCTCCCCGCGCAGAGCCTGGCAGAGCGGGAATAGGGGAATGCGAACAGCCGGGGCAGCACCGACTCCGCCTCTCTCTCCTCACCGTCAGTGGAGAGGAGGGTGAAGAGTGAGGCTGCGGGGCCTCCCGCGAGAAGAGGTACCTGAGGCTCGCACCGCAGGGTCCCGCCGCACCGCAGCCCGGCACCCTGCTTCCGGGGTCAAGTTGCCTC